AAGAGGTGTTAGTGGGGCCAGTAGGGGGCGCTCACCCTACAGTCTGTGTGGGTCCTTATGCCCCAGTATAGTGATGGGGACACTATACTGTAAAAAGGTGCTGTCCTCTGGGTTAGATGTAAGACCGAGGTCCTGACTCTTTGTGGTCATTAAAAATCCCAGGGCATTTCCTGAAAGAGTAGGAGTGTTACCCCAGCGTCCTGGCCAAATTTCCTATTGGCCTTTACCACTCATGGCCTCCTAATAATCTTCATCTCTAAACTGGCTTCGCCACTCTGCTCTCCTCCCCGCTGAGAGCTATTCTGTGGTGAGCGTTCTGGCGCACTATGGCTGCCGTCGCATCATCCAAGTGGTGCTGCACATTGGTGATGGAGGAGGGGAGTCCCCATTACCTGTAAAGCACTTTGAGTGGAGTGTCCAAAAAAGCGCTATATAAGTAAGGAATTATTATTAGTTCTGGTGTTGTCCCCTTGAGTGAGGAACTTCACCTGAAGTGTTCCACTGAATTTCCCAGGTACTGTATAGTTGCAAATGTAACCAGCCGCATAAATTAGTAAATCCTGGAGATTAATCAAGAGTATCTTCAGAATTATGCAAAGACACTTAATTATTTTGAAGATAAAGCGAGACCTTATTTAACAGGTGATCTGAAACAGATCCAGACCCCAAAAAACAGTTAGGCTACTAAACTAGCCTGGCCTCAAGAGAAAAAAATGATATTATTCATTATCACAGTTAGAGTTAGAACACGGGACTGGATTGCTATGACAGATCTCAACAATCTTTCAGTATTATTTTATATGTTCTCTTTAGTGTTTTTTATTTTGATTTATACAAAGTACAAAACTAAAAAATAGACAATTCAATTTTTTTAGAATATGTAATGTATCTCTTGTTTTGCCTTTATATAACTCTTTTTGTCTTTCTAGGGAGGGTCTGATTTGGGAAGATATAAACTGGATGGATAATGGAGAATGTTTAGATTTGATTGAGAAGGTAATTATTTTTGGCTGTTATGAGTAGACTATTTTTTTAAAATGGGAGTTAGCCATATAATGTTAATGTTATTTTCAATTGTGACATTTTGACCAGCTATTCAGACGTTTTTCAGAAGGGTGACAATTATTTCTCTTTTGTTTCTTAGAAATTGGGCCTTCTGGCACTGATTAATGAAGAGAGTCACTTTCCGAAGGGAACTGACAGCACTTTGCTTGAAAAACTCCACAATCAGCATTCGGTAGGATTTCTGCATGATTCCACTCACTAAGCCATTGGAAGTGTTTGAACATACAGACCTAATGCTAAAACTTGTACTACTATAAATGTTTCAAAAAATATATAAATGTGGTATTTTAATTGGATGCCATTTCTAATGGCCTTTATTCAGGTAAAGCACACTAAATATCCTGTACCTGGTATGGGCACAAGTATTCAAGGATATGCCTCACAAAACCTAGAATGGCTCAAATCAGTATTTTGTCTAGGCAGTATTAAATATATGTACACTTTTTGAACGCGATCAGTCTGTCATTGTAGTTGGGAACAGGAGGACTACGCAGGCTTAATGACAACCATAAATCATAGAGGTTATGTGTTGAAATGTGCAAAACTGAGCCATTAGTCCATGATAAATGACACCTCATATCACAAAAGTGGCTCTCTCAGAAGACAATGGACAGGTTCTGTAGGCAGTATGTACTGTATGTACACATATAGACCTACCATACTTACAGTAGATGACCACATGGGATATGCTTGGCTCCCGGTGCCAAGCTACATTATCCAAATGTTTGTCTTTGTTTTTTTTTTGCTTGTACCATGTGAATTGTACCACTCTATGCCTTTCCATTCACCCCAGATGTATGTTCATCCATTTTGCATTCTTTTTGGTGTCAAAGAGGAAGGGAATTGAATGTTCAAGCGTAAGACTGAGATGGACATTGCATTATCTGTCAGTAGATTTCGGCAACAACCAGCAAACCGTTTTGAAAAAACTTCACTATTCAGCGGCAGGATGGCCTTATTTTCCTTAGCAAAAAAAAAAGAAATTTGTATGTGTTTTTGTTTTAGCAAAACCCATTCTACGTGAAGCCTCGGGTTGCTGTGCATTATTTTGGAGTGAAGCACTATGCAGGAGAGGTATGTATTTTGAAATCTTTCCAAGTAAGTTCAGTTGTCAAATTTAGGTACAGAAAAAACAGGCTTTGTGCGCTTTTTTAGAAGATAACGCCAGATAGGTAGGAGAAGATTTTTCTGATTTCAGACACCTTGTTTTCAGCCTGTTTTTGTTAAAAGAAAATGCACATCACTTTCTTGATACCTTACTGTACACCTTCTGTACATGTTGTTGCATAATTTACGTCTTCTAAACAATGGGGGAAAGCAAGGATTCCAAACCCAATCCCCAGGGCACAAACATCTGGTTTCCATTCAAATAATTGAATCCTTAATTGAACTTAGAAGTTACTTGATTGCAACCTTTGCCATTTTCTGTTCTGCTCAAAAGTGAAAGGTTTTTATGTTTGTTCTGAAGTCCAATGGCTAACGGTGATGTTATTGAAAAAGAAACAACTGAATGGAGTCTTTGGATCATTTACCTACTAAAAAAACCTAAAAGCAAGATGAGCAGGGTGCCTCTCCCATCTCTATTGTAATAATTCTTATGTTTGCATGGTGTCAGGCTGTGATGGCAACTGGAGAAATTGCTTCAGCTCCAAATAATAATCCCTGCTCCTGGTCTTGCTGTGCAGGTTGTGTACGACGTGAGAGGAATACTCGAAAAAAACAGAGATACCTTCAGGGATGATATTCTGAATATGCTGCGAGAGAGTAGGTCTGTAAATCTTATTGGAGGAAAATCTGTCATCAATCCTACTCATTTATACAGATTGTGATTTTTGTATGATCATTGTCTTTTTTATAGATTTATCTTCAAAAACAGTCATCACTACACTATGAGACAAGGCAAAAGTCAAAGCAGTGCTTCATATATTTGATGTATTCCCTGTTTCTTCTTTGCTATCATGGATATATAGTAAAGGTTCAGGGAGTGCATAACCGTTGCTACTTAAGTTTAGAATGAAATGGCATTTATTAGCAAAAACAGAGAAGCTGATGTCAGACTGTTTCAGGACAAAGCAGAAACTACATCACTTTTTGACAGCATTACAGGAACCACAGTTGTTGCTTCTGAGTTTTCATCAAGCAGAAATTCCTGAAATTTAATTAGATAAGGGAAATGTTGGGATCCCTGCTACACTGAACCTCAAGACAGTGTTTATAGTGTGAGATCCTCTACAGTTTAGTGGCTAATTTTCTGCTGCAGTCAAGGAGAAGATTACAATCCATTATCAGTGGTCTAACTTTTAACGCAGTCTGAACAAGACAGACTCCAATTACAGTAGGTGCTACAGTAGCTTCATGCCAGATGGTATATCAGAGAAAATGGTGAAATCTTCTTCATACTGAGAGCAGGCACTGTGCAGATAAGCCTGTACTAAATGTGTCGCACGTTTGTGTTACAGGTTAGATTTTGTCTATGACCTCTTTGAGCACGTCTCCAGCCGGAACAACCAGGACACTCTGAAATGTGGATCCAAACACAAGAGACCCACTGTCAGCTCTCAGTTCAAGGTCAGTGGATGTTTTGAGTTTAGATGTGGCTGGCAGAGCTATATTACAGAAATGAATATTAGTCATAAATTATTAAAAGGGGACAAAGGAAGAGCTAGATTTATCCAAAGCATGTCTTTAAACCACTTTAGTTTTAAGATGGAGATATTCATGTGAAAAGTATAAGGAAAAAACAAACATTTCAACAACAAAAGTGAATCCCAAATAGATCTCAATTCACCATCCAAGGGCTTTCTGTGCATTCTGTGCTCTAAAGAATGACATGTGTAATGGTGCATTTATCACATTATCCTTTGATAGTAGTATGTTCAGTAAAAGATGAGCTCCAATTTGGTTTTCTGCCTGCATGTGTTTTTTTGATTGAGCCTGTAAACTCAATATTATGTATTCACATAATGCTTTGGTCAAGGGTTGGGTAAATATAAGAAGGACCAGCATCAGTCTAGTTGGGCAGTTAATTTCTTTGATAGACTTTTTTTTAAGTCTGAGCTAAAAATAACATAGTTGCAGCCGCTCTTTATGAATAGAGCCTTGTGTACTTCTTCGCTGCGTGGTGGTGCCAAAGTTTTTAAAAGCTTTCTTGCTTTCCAGAACTCCCTGCATTCCCTGATGTCCACACTCAGCACATCAAATCCTTTCTTTGTTCGCTGCATCAAGCCAAACACTCAGAAGGTAAGCCTGAACTCCAGACTCCTCTCTCCTCGCCACTCTCCTAATTAACACCAGCTTGCTTTAGATGTACCTTTCTAAAAAATGTATTTTCAGAGTGTGTTTGATCTTGGCACGTCCTCCCTGCTCGGAATACTTGAAAACCAAGGTACTTAGCTTCAGCTTCGTAAGTAAAACAGAACTCAAACATTGAGGAGAGAATGAAACAGATGGAAAAAAAGCTTCCTTCACTTCACTGGGCTAAAAAGAGTGTGAATTCACTTCACATACACTGGGTGTTTGAGATAGCCTAGTGATTACAACAATGATTCTGGCTTTTCATGTCCCTGTGCATTCTTTCCAGACATTTCATTGGAAGTTGTTTTACAAAACTTGTTGTTTTTTTTTAAATATCATTTTAGGAGCTGTTAACACTGCTAAACTGGTTACAAAGCTAAACCCTAAGTGCAAGAATACGTCATTAAGGGATATCAAAAAAGGGCTCCCAGGTTTTTGAGCAAAAGGAAGTAAAATGGAAGGTGAAATTGCTGTTGCTATCCTCAAAACATTTGTTATCGTTCAACATCAGCTGGTCCAGGCAGACAACAAAACAGGAGATGGCTATGGTGGTTCAATTTTTAGTGGTACGTGCTCCTTACAGTTTAAAATTTACACTGTCAGTAATGATAGTGAACCATTAAAACATGACAATGGCCTGATGTCAGTGCTAGTGATATTAAAACCAGGCCTGAATATGTGGAAGTTGCACATCAGAGCACTACAGACAGTTTCCGTGTCGTTTTCTCCTGTCATTATTTTTTCTAACACAGACTACTGCCTAGAAGTCCTTCCTTCCATACCTGTAGGAGTTTTAATCCAATGACTGAGGACATTTTTTAGAAGGATGATGATACAATAATGCCGTTACACAGGAACACCATTACCAGCTGCCAAGGCCTTGAATCTCAATTCAGGCTAGGCACTGTAGCAAGCAGTTGGGTGCATGCAGCTATCAAGGAATTGGATTTATCTCTTGTGATGGGGAGTCTCCTAGGGAAACAGGTTATCTGAAACCTGTCAAGAGCTCGGAGCATTTCTTTTTCAAATTTTGTTGGATTGAATGATGGGCTGTCAAAAACAATTGACTGCCAAACACTAAAACATAAAAAAATATGAACAACAACATAAACAATTATCATGCTGTATGTGTTTTGATTCCTTCAGCACACTGGACTCTTTCTGAGCTGTTTGCATTTAAAAAAAAATTGCAACATGTTTCTTCATATCGTATAGTCCAGTTAAATGCAGTTCTCACATATAATGTTCAACTCATACAGTCAATTTCCAAATACCAATTAAAGACAATACCCTGGAGAACTTTTTAGGCCCCGGAGAACCTCTTCATGCACACGTTTCTTGTGTTTATACAGTAGTTCTCCATTTGTTCACAATAGAAAGATCCTGAAAGGCTTCCATTTCTAGGCACTAGATGGCACCGCAAGCTGTTTACATTGGTGGAAGCTGGTATCTGTTCCACAGAAACCATTTCTAATCAATATTTACCCGATGTTTGTTGGTGGAGTTCCTGTTTCCATTCTCACCATTGTTTCAATTCCTGTATATTAAATGTATATTTGATATGAAAGAGATTACGAAAATAACAACATGAATTGTATACATTCAGAATTGTAATCTTATAAGAAGTGACAAAGGAGAGGAGGCCGTTTGGCCCATCTGACTGTTTGGTAGACAGGAGCTGATTGATCCAAGTCCATCCTCCCATTTCATGCAAGAAGCCAGAATATCGTCTACAATAACATTGCTGAGAAGCTTGTTTCGTCGACCTGCAAAGTGTCTCCCGTTCTCAGTTTTAAACTCCCTTCCGTGTTTTTTTCCGCTTGTGTGCTTCGTTTCGGATTTTACTGCTGAGTCAAACAAGGGTGTAAGATTGACGTTGTCAGAGCCTGTGAGGATTTTGAATGAGGTCAGCTTCAGTGTAGGTCATTCATTGAAGCCTGGAAAGGTTACTGGTTGCTCTTCTCTGCTGTGAAGAAAATTACAATATCCTTTTTTTTTTGTCACACATAGACCAAAAATGTACAAAATATTCTGAATGAGGACTTATTAATACATTTTGCAATTTTAACATCCCTTTGAATTAAATTCAGCACTTTTAACTATATAACCTTAAGATTCTGTTTCCCTTTGTATTGTTTCATCAAATTATCTATTATCTATTATTAAGATGAAAAGTATATGAACTTCAACACTTGAGACTTTTGTAGAGGTAACGGGTTCAAGTTCAGTGTTTCCCATTTTCTATCTATAGTTTGTTTCTGAAAGTAACACTCTGCCCTGTCTACATTAACTTTCAGTTGCCAGGTATTGGACCAGTTTTGAATTCTCTCATTCAAGATCAGTAGAATACAAAATATACATAAAATTAGATATACTGTACAATAGTTTGTCAATGGTTTTGCATAACAGTACTTGATATGATGTCTAAGATCAGTGTCGCAAAAAGCACTATTAACATCGTTGTTACAATTTGTCATAATTTGAATCATCTTCATTTTTTAGAAAACAGTTCTCAACACTTTTCAATTGAATTCATGCTTTACAAGCACTTTGTTCAGTTGTTCACAGCTGTGTCCTCCCTCAACTGATGAAATTTATTCAGCTCAGATGTTGCAATCCAGGCAAATTTTATGTTTGTTTAAATATTTCAGACACTTTGGCTAGGTGTGTCCTCCATGTTTGGAATAATAATGGCATCATTTCCTAGAGCTAGCTATTAACCCTTTGGCCCGGCCTAGAAACAGTGCAAAAAGAGTAAAACCAAAGAATAAAAAGATGAATGTATGTTCAGCCTGTCTTCATTATTTTCCATGTAACAGCTGCAGGGGCTGTGAGTGAACAAGTGTTCTTTGTCTGCTCCAGATTTTCTTACAAAGAATTGTAACACTTTCTGTCACCCTGTTGCTGCTGATACAGCAGTTCTCAGTGCTTTGTTCTCGGTACTATATTATCTAGCTGTTCCACAGACAACACCTGAACAGAAACCTAATTATCTGAGCTGGTTTTCTGGAAGTCAGCCCCAGTGCTCATAGCAAAATGGTTGTGTGCTTCTGTTTTCCTGACAAGTAGACAAGGACATTTGCCTCTTGCAAATACTGGAGAAAAGGTGTAACTGTGTTCTCAAATTACTGAATTTTAGATTCTCAAGTCCCTTTTGCAAGGCGTGCTCAGTTTATATAGCCAAATGTGGCTATACTGTAGAGCTTCCAAGTCTCATGCTGATAAACAAATATGTCTCACAGTTTCACATAGTCTGGAGTTGCATAGAATATACACTACAGAGGCTGTAATTAACATGGTTGAAATATCTGCAGTGCAATTTTAAAATGTTTTTTTTTTTTACTGTGAAGATTACTAACTGACTGCATAGTATGTTTTTTACCATTTATATGTTTACTACATTTTCTCATAACTAACAGTTTATCCTTCTAATTGCATAGACTTTGAATTTAACCCTGCACAGGTGGAGAATTACAGGCAGCGTTTTCAGCTCTCAGGACATTTGTGTCTGAAGGCTAGAGTACGTTATTTATGTCAGCTGCGGACTGTGCGTGATATTTATAACCATCCCCATGTGTGTTTCATAGTTCACAGCACAGAAAGATCAAGTCAGTTTTGAAGTTGTGAACCCGATATGTAAGCAGTGTGCGAGTGCAAGTTACAGCTTCAAGACTGCACTTGTCAAAAATAAACATCATGAAGATAGATGGCTACGATTGTTGATTATCGCCTAAGTAAATGTGTTACTGATGGCATCAGTAAAGTCTTTGTGTCTTTTCCTTGCTTGGAGCCAAGCCTTAGTTCAGTAGTTCAGTCAAACACGAATTAATCCAATTGATGATAAAGTTTATGCTTGACATAACTCGCCGTGCTGCGGAAATGTCAGTCTGATCATAAGGTCAAGACTGACCGGACCTCTTCTGCTTCACGGGGAATGAGCCAGGGAGCCGCTGGAAGGGTCAAGATGGGTGGAGGGAGGGGTAAAAGGAAGACATATAAGAAGGGGGTAAGAGAAGGAGTGAGAGTGCGGACAAAGTGGGGATTGCAGAAAAGGGGAGAGAAGATGAGATGGGGTGCGGAGTGGCCCGGGGGCTTTGAAAAGAGCCAGAACAGAAGTGCAGACATCATGGGTACTGTGGGGAGCACACTGTTTACCACAGAGCCTGGTGACGTAGAGGTTGCCTTGAACGAACAAGAGCTGCTTGAGCATTCAGGTCGAACAAGAAGGCCACTCCCTCACCCAGCTTGGAGAAAGCAAACAGTGATCAGAACGGACGAAGTGGTAAAAAAGACGACAAGCGCGAGGAGCTCATGGGGTAGGAGTCGAGCAACAAGTGAGGAGGATGCGCAGGATCGTTGAAGGATAAAAGTTGGAGCTGGTTGTGGTTTCTTCCTGAAAAGAGCAAACACCACGTGCAAGAAAGATGTGCCCTAAGAAGAGGTGCTCGGGAGGCAAGATTTTCCACATAGGGGAGTAGAAGTGGACAAGAATAAAGTTTCTCCTCTTCCTGAACTTTTGTTTAAAAACTCAATTTGGTCATCTTTCAAAAGATCCCTTTTGAAAGTGGGATCTGACATTAGTGGGTTAAACCACTAATCAAGTAATATTCTTTCTGAGGCCTGGAATGTTACTGGGTTTAGAGGAGCATCCTCATCTTGAATCTAAGCAGTCGAATTCGTACCTTCAGCGCTCGGTTGATAACTGGAATGTTTTTGTGCTGTTCTTTTTATGCACAAAATTCTATTACTTTCCCAATAAGCACAAGTGTTACAACGAGGATCAGATGGAAGTGAAACAGTTTCTTCATCTTAGATTTTCATGTCAAAAGAGGGAAAAGGTGTGGATCATTTCCAGAAAATGTACCCACAATTCCTGATTGTCTTTATATCTGCACCCACGGTTCCTTCCCCTGTTTGACCCAATGGACATTTCTTTTTCAGAGAACATAATTTTAAACAGGTCAGCTGCTTTAACCAGTACTGATGGAAGGTCC